AGGCGGGCTGAGCGCTGGGAAGCACCGCTGGGAACCGGCGCGGGTGCGCCCTGCAGCCCACGCTCCTGGCGCCTGGCAGCCCGCATGGCCGCCGCCCTTCTGCGCCGGGAGGGCCCGCACCCTTCTCTAAATGAGCTGCATTCCCGCGGCAGAGAGGACAAGCTCTGCCCTGGGCTAGGGCCACCCCTGCCCTGCTGGCCGAGTTGGTGGCCTTTGCCTTCTTCCTGCCAGAGCAGCACAACCTTAGGGTCGGCAGCGCACCGGGGTCTGCAGGGCACCCTGTGGACAAGTGGGGGACAGCCAGAGGCAGGAGGCAGGTATGGCTGAGAGGGCAGCAGGGACAGGTCTGCCACTCGCGTGGCCACCCACTGGTGTGGGCGCTTCTGGGGCTTGGGGCTCCCCACCTTGGGGACCCCAGGGGAAAGCACCTGCCCTGGGCAGGTGGGGTCTGTGTGCATAGCGCTGGGAGAGCTCAGCGTGGGGTTTCTTCCACACCCCGCCGGGGGCTCCCCAGGAGGTAAGGCAGGGGCGAGCCTGGCCTGCAGGGCTGCCCATGGCCTCCGGGAGAAGGGGGACTCTCAGGTGCCCCCTCCTTAGCTCTGCAGACCTGCGGCGTTTCAGCCCGGCAAGCGCACTGCCTGGCTGTGTGGCCTGGCCGGCGCCTGCCCCTCCAGCCTGCCGGCAGCTGGGGTGTGGCGGGGCTCTGCGCGGTGATGTGGACGGGTCGGAGGCAGTAACCGTGGGAGCGAGTCATGTGCCCGGCCCTCCTCCAGCCCCATGCAGGCTCGGGTGGTGCGGGGGTCCGGGCCCCACCCTGCCTAGCTTCCCTCTGTCCCCCCACGCGCCCCAACCTTCTCTAGCCGGAGCGGGGCACCTCTGGGCAGCAAACCCTGTCCACCTTCAGGTCTCCTGCTGGCTGGGCCACCAGTGCCTGGACCCTCACTTTGGCTGACCCCAGCCCCTGGCCTGGCGCCTACCCCGCCTGCTGGAGGACCTGGCCACCGGGAGGGGGCTGGGGGGCAGGGACCGACCCCCCCATCTGGTGTCGTGGGTTCAGAGCCCAGCCCAGGCACGCTGGCTGTCCGTCCCCTGGCACCCGTGTCTTGCTCTCCTGGGGGCCAGGGGCTGATGCTGGCTGCCCCCGGGGTCAGCCTGAGGGTTTCCCGGCCAGGCTCACCCCTGCGGGGGGCCAGGCAGGCTCATGGGAGTCGGGCTCTCGCCAGGGCCCTGGGGCGGGTGCCGCAGCCGCGCCCTGGGCTCGGAGGCCACGCTGCCTTCCCACACGTGTCCCCGCCTCTCCTCACTGCTGCTCAGCCTGGGACCAGGGCCCAGTGTCCTTCTTAGTCACGGGAGTCCGGTGTTAGCTGGGCACACACCCCCGGCCCTGCCTCCGAGCTCAGGGCGCACAGCCCAGCTCTGCCCCGTGTGGGGGTCGGGGTCTGCCTCCTCGCGCCCCCCACCCCACCCCCTGGGGATGCAGTGCTGTCTGCCTGCTGTCCTGGCTCCCTGGACATCCATTTTCAGCACAGCCAGCCTGGGGTCTGGGGACCCCAGGGTCCCTCCCAGGGACTTGTGCAGGGCGGCACTGCCCTTCACCGGGGCCCTTGCCAGCCTCTTCCACAAGAGAAACAGCCTGTCTCTCTGGAGCTGCTATTACCTGGCCCGTTAAGGTGGCAGAACAGGGGGTCAGGCACCTGCGTCTCATGGCCAGTCCCCCAGGCCATGGGTGTGAGAGGGCAGCCCCGGGCGGAGCACAGCCTCACTCGGGCCACTCAGCAGGAGCGATGGGTTGGAAGAAGGGGGACTGACCCCAGCTTCGGAGATGCTCTGGCCTCTGGTCCCCGAAGAGGGAGCCCGCCAGCGCCTGGGCGCCCCAGCCCAGCCCCAGCTGGGGCTCTGGGAACAGCTGCAGGTGTGGCTGGGGAGGTCTGGGCAGCGCACTCCTCTCAGCCGGCCACAGGTGAGCCTGGCAAGCAGCTCCGTCCACTCTGGCAGGGCTGGGCCCACTGCCGCTCCGGGCTTCTGAGGCCAGCGACAGGTAGGGTGGCGACCCGAGCGGCTTCAGTCGGTAGAGAGGTGGCGGGCCCACGGTGTGGCCTCTGTACCCGGCTCCTGGCGACAGACTGTCCAGGGCGCCCCGTCTCCCAGGCGCCCCCTCCTGAGTGCCGCGACCTCAGCAGTGACCGCCTGCCTCACTGTTGGTGCGATGCACGCTGCTCTCAGCCTGTGTTTAAATAAAAAGAAAGTTAATTCTGGAAACATGTGACAGCTGTGACTGCTGTCCCCGATCCGGCCCCCGGCCCCGTCGCCCCCACCGTCCCCTGCGCTGCCCCGCCCATCTCGGGCCTCACGCGCCTGGCCCCATCAACACGGCGTCCGCAGGGCCCACCCACTGCAGTGGGTGCCAGGGTGGCCTCCTTTTCAGGGCTGAGTAGTGCTCCAGGGTGGGGGCGCGCTTTGTGGGTCCCTCGGGGACTCCTGGCGCTTTGCCCTCAGCAGCTGTGAGTGTGGGGGCGCTTCAGTCCCCCAGAGACCTGAGGGCTCTCCCTCTGCTCTGCGCAGAGGGGTCTCCTCTCCTCCCGTGTCCACCTGTGGTCAGTGGAAGACCTGGGCCCTCTGGATCCCCATGCCTGCACCCTGTGCAGCCTCCTCCCCTCCTGCTCCCGGCTGGGGGTCTCTGCTGGCCGGGACGCCAGCCTGCGGCCCCGCTGTGCTGCCCATCGCCAGGCACTGGGAGACCCCACCTGCTGGCCCGGGGTCACCCTCCTGCCCAGATGTTGCACACAGTTTCTCCTAAAGTTTGCTGTGCTGGAGGGAGTAAGTTTGGTCCCCGACACCCCATCTTGGCCTGAATAGAGCCTCCTCCCCTGCAGAACCTCCTCGGGCACACTGGTCCATGCTGGTCACCACGGCACTGCCCCCGTGTTGGAGAGACGACCCTGCCGGTCTCTGTCCTCGAGGGAGGGGCAGTCAGCCCAGCTGGGCCCGGCCGTGGCAGCCCCTCCACACAGCTGTCCTCGGGCCTGTGGGCTCGGGCGGAGCCTGACCCTCCTGGGCCCTCTGGCCGGTGCTCGCGCTCACGCCTCGACCCAGAGTGTCTCGGGGTGAACCAACCCTTACCCCCACCGCAGGCACGGCCTCGGCCAGAGGGCACTGCCTGGCCCACTGGGCTCCCGTTTCTGGCTTGTGAATACTAGAGAGCCTGGCTCTGCCCGGGGCTGCCTGGCCACTACTGGCCTCCGCTGCTGCTGAGCGGAGCCAGGCGGTTTTCCCTCAGTGTCTTAGAGGGTGTGTTTCTCCTTTCATCCACATTTCCAGATTAGACAAACACTTTTAAAGATGAACATGACTGAAAGGGCCCAATAACAACTATGAAGCTTGTTAAGCCTGAGGAGGAGGGGGAGCCTGGGGCTGCATGGGTCAGTCTTGGTGCTAGGAAGCCATTGCCAGCCCCTGCGGCCTGACCCCGGCCAGGGAGGGGCCCCCAGGGCGCCCCAGACCCCTCCTGTACCACGCTGCCTCCTCAGCAGTGGCTTTCAGTGGATCCGCCTGCCCTGCTCCCCACTGTGTCTCTCACCCCTCTACCTCTGGCCTGCACCCCAGCTTATGTGCATAAATACATACACCTTGACAAAGATAAGACTCCAGGAGCCACGTGCCCAGATCCCCCACGACCCCCCGATGCTGCTCCAGGCACTGGCTCCCTTTCCTGATCACCTGGACTCTGGCGCCCCGTGGCAGTGACCAACACCCCCCTGAGGGCGGCTCTGACTCCCAAGCCCCAAGCTAGTCCGAACCCCGAGCAGCCCCGCCCAGCTGCACCTCCGTGGCCGGCCGCCCCCAACCTGCCACCCCTGGAGACTCCCCCTGTTCCTTCCGTGGGCTGGGAGAGGACAGCCAGAGGCCACGGGCTACAGCTTCATGTCCAGCGAGCCCAGGGCCGCTTTCCCGGTAGGAAACTGCCCGCCTGTCGCCCTCCGGCCGCCACTGCTTGTGGAGAAGCTGTCCCGGCAGCCAGAAGGGCGTTCCCCCTTCCCCTCATCCAGGGGCGCCCCGGGGGCTCTTCCCTGGTCTGTGCCCTTGACTTTCTCTTTCGGTCCTTCCCTTGAATTTCGGTTTCTCGAGAGCATCTACTGTCCGTGCTCGCTGCTGCCCCGAACTCTGCCTCTGCATTGCTCGGAGGAGCCCCTGGGCCAGGCCCTCGGGAATGTGGGGGCGCCCTGTCCTGGGGGGCCGATGGAGGCTGGCTCCGGGGCTCACCGCTCCTTGGGGCGAGCGGACAGGCCCCACGGCCCCGGCTCGGCGGCCCCCGCCTGCCCAGCACCCAGCTCCCCTGTCTGCGGCACATGCGCACCCCGCCCGCAGGCGCAATGCGACGGCACCCCAGGGGTCCAGAGCTGGCAGGCGCTGCCCTGCGTCGCGTGGGAGACTCAGCCGCGGGGTCCTGGGAGGCAGCTGGCAGTCCTGGGGCCCCCCGAAGTGTCTCTGTGGCCTCTTGGGGAGGCCCTGCCCCACGTGACCCTGCTGCAACTGGGCCCAGGGCCCGGGGTGGAGCGGAGGGCTTGGTGCTGAGCACAGAGCAGGTGCTGGTGAGGCCAGCACGCGGCCTCCTCGCACACCCTTCAGTCCGGGGGGCTGGGTGGGCCCTCCCAGGGCCTCAGTTTCCCTGCCTGCAGAGAGGGAAGCGGAACCAGGCTGGCCGAATGGCGCCACCTGCCGGTCCCAAGTAGCACATCGTCGGAGGCCGCTGCGCCTGACCGGCCCACCCCACCCTGGGGCGTGGGGCGTGGGGGG